TGTTCTCAATAATCGCTGAATTTCGCCCATTTTTGCCTCTATTTTCTCCCAGTGAGCTGAAAGGAAGTAAATTCTATTAAACATCATTTTGCACCTCACGTCAACACAATGAACTAAATATTTAACCTTAAATGTGTGTTAAGTTCCCCAACCGCCAACCTTTCATCAGATATGTTATCTACTGTATGTTCGAATTTCCCTCGATTAGCATTCGTAGCCTGCGCAACAGAAGTTTATGTTGATGGAATTCGATTCTATTTTAGCATATTAAAACAAACATAATCTTAGTTAATTTAATATTTTTTGATTACTTCCGCCACGATTATATGTGAATTTACGCTCACTAGCCAAGAACTAAATGTCTGGTATCTAGAGGGGCCCTACAAATCAATTTTGCCTATTCGGGCAATATACCCATTTTGCTAGTTTCGTACCATTAAACTTCAAGCGTATCTTAGTACGATGCATGACAAAAAGGCGAAAAGCATCGGCTTGACCAGCAGCATCGAAGAAGAGCTGAAGGTTGTAGGTGGTTTTCGACAAAAGTGTTATCCTAGTCCATTTATTGCTAAGAACATGGTTGAAAGACCGCCAAAGTGTTAACAGCAGAGAAGAAAGGAATCTTCATCAGGATCCCATTTCAAGTAGACGCGCCAAGCGAACTTCTAAGAAGGTGCCTGAGTCAGGCTGTACCAAACACGTTTCCAGCAGCCAACGCCCATGTGCTGTTCTCGACTACTCCTAACCTCTAAGGAGAGATAAAGGACAAACTGCCAGCCCATACTACCTCTGTGTACATCTATTAATTCACCCGACCCTGTGGGGCAGAATACATTGGTCACCCGAGCTAGCGTTTTGCTTATAGGGTAAGAGAAGGTCTTCCAACATGGTTATAGGGAAGGGCCAAATAAAGAGAATTAACAGTTTCAGTTTAGCATAAATGGTAGGCTCAGACCAGCGCATGGATGCCAGATAGGCTTTCCGTGTGATCTACAAGGTGCCCGCGAGCTAGTCAAAGTTCCTTGGACAGCGTCTGTTGGCGACAACAGAAACGGCTACGCAGCCCGGTCCTGTGCGCTCAAAGGAACTTTATGAAGACACCGCAGTTACCATG